ATTACGAAAGAGTGCTCCTGCCGCTGAGTTGGTCGCCCCCTTTACCGCCAGAAGTTGGGCAGCAAGCTGGTTTGAAGTAACCAATCCGGCCGAGAGGAAGCTTCGCGTGGTGGACGCAATAGCTTCTTCACTGCGTATCACTGATCCGTGATGATAAGATCATGATTGCAATCGGTAGTGCGAACCGAAGCGTCATCCCAGGAGAGTGCAAATTCGTGGTCGGCGGAAAGCCATATATTGCCTGTCATAATGCCAACTCATTCGCGAGACCAGAATATATGCGCATTGTTCCTCCCTGTTAGTGGTCCAGATGAGTAGCGAAGGTGCAGCTGCCGTCTGTGTAGGAGCATCCTGAGAGATCACCCACTGGAGGCTGAGGAATGGTTTCTGCGTGTCGGATATATTATAAATGGTGGTGGCGAAGGAGAAGCAATTGACGACCTCAGCGGTATGATTGGTACAACATCCGAACGGAGCGGATGGGAATGCGAATGAGAGGCTCTGCTGGGTATGCCAAGCTCCCTCGGATTCCACCATTTTGCCGTATTGGCAATTGTGGTGTTGAGCCATTCGCTTACATTCCTCTACAGGAACTGCCAATTGAGTGTCGCTGTGTGTCTCCATGCGTGACCCAAAGAATCCCAGCGAGTAGACCACCGTTTGACGAACGATTTTACATACCACAGCTGAGGTGGTATATAACTGGGTACTGGGGCGATATAGATATAATTTCACTTTGACAGGTGTGGACGAGATGTTAGGCCACATTCCAGAACAGTTGTGCAAGTTTGGAAGCTTGAAGAGGGATGTGGGGTTATCAGAAGGGCAGAGCCAAGCTTCGATTGCCGACGCTTGACATCCCAAAGCGCTGCAACACAGTACCACACAAAAGAGGAGTCGTACATCAGGGAGTGATGCTCCAGTATGGTCAGAAGTGACGGCAAATGGCTGAGAGGCCAGAGAAGACTGTGCAAGCTCCTTGTTGCGGCGTAGCAACGCCAAAATTCTTGCCTGAGAATGCCGCAGTTCGGTTTACGAGTCCCTGAGAGAAGAAGTCAGAGCTGCCATATCCAGTGCCGAGTCCTGAGAGGGCTGTTTCCTCGTTGTGACTTGCTGGTCACTCACCGATAGAAAGGAAGCGCATGGTAGAGGGAGGGGGGGGGGTACCGTGCTCTGCTGGAAGGACGAGAGAGACCCCGATTACGAGGAGGCGGTGTGGGTCCGCGACGCCCTTAGTGGCGAATGGCTAACACCCCTGCAGTTAAAACAGCGGTCCAGAGGCTGTTGACTCGCATTCGGACGCCCACGCTCAAAGCGGTTCGAAGGAGCAGGTAAGGAGGGACCACGACGAGGCTCATACCCAGGGGAGGGTGGGCCTTGAGGAAACCGACGACCGTGGTCGCGTGACGGACGCTTTAACACTCGTACCGGTTCTGAATTATCAGATGGATGAAGCAACCGGTCGGCTGTCGCCTCGCCGAGCAACTGTTCAACAATTTGCGCCTTATTAACGACCTGTTCGAAGGACGTGGGCCCATCTAGTTTCACAAAGTAACGAATGTCGCCGCGAAGCCGTGACACAAAATCTTCCGGAATGCGATCCTTTTGAGTAGAAGGGTCCTGCCCGGAGGTGGCCGCCCGCACCAGCTTGAGAATACGGTTGGCGAATGATGTACAGGACTCCCCTGGTTCCTGGCGACACGACGACAGCTTCTAACGCGCGACATAACGTTGGTGAGGGCTTTCGAAGAAGGCTTTCAGAAGGGTCACCACACTTCAGATGGGCACTGTAACTCTTCCTTGCGGCGTCATCCAATTCTTCCACCTTTTCCCGAGCCACTCCGTCCAAGTGTCCAACCAAGAAATGGGCTTGCTGCTCGGCAGTCAAGGGAGTTGGTCGCATTCGCATAACATCCTCAAGACGTCGTAGCCACATCGTGAACTGGATTCCGTTTTCAGCAGGTCCAATGAATGCAGGGATACGTGACTGAAAGTCGGGCTGAAACATGGCCACGAGGGGAAGCTCATTGGTGGCCGATTGGTTCAACGTGAAGTAAGAGGCTTCTTCCGGCTGCGATTAACGAAAAAGAGAAAAAAAGGAGGGAAGAGCTAATCGTGGAATGTGAGTTGAAAAAAACTGCCCCTGAGAGCCCTAACATAGGGCAAAGAATGCTGTAATTTGTAAAAAAAACGAGTAAGAAAAGGAAACTAGAGTGAAAAGAATGTAAAACTGTCAGCGAAATATTTCCAGCTGTAATCAATATGAAAGTTTACCCTACTAAAGGAGAGACCACGATCCCGTCCATGCTGCAAAGAGCCCTTACGGGATTGCTGTCTTATTCTCCTACTAACATGTCTAATGGCCACCCTTTAGGGCTTACTGTGATGAAGCTAAGAGAAAAAGGCGATGGCGAAGAAAAAAGAAAAAGAAGAGAGGAAATGAAAGCAGCTACATTATAGAGGGTAGGACAGCAAGCACGGAAAAGAAGAAAAAAATCAAATCGAAAAATTGGACTCACCGTCCCTCCGTCTGCCGTCGGGTGGAGGGCTCGCTGCTACCAGTTTGGTTCTTGGCACTTCCTCCGATATACTGGAGCAACACCATATAATATAACAGTTTATTAGAAATCCAAGTTAACAGAACGATCTCCACAAAGCGTGCTGACGACGGCGAATCCGCCGTTAGTGGCCATAGGTCGAGCGGCGGTTGCGACGGCGAGCTCCTCGACGGCGCCTGATCACGCGTTTTATACTAAGCTCGCGGAGAAGCCTGTAATCAGTGCATTTCATCGGAGCATGAGAACGTTTCTGCGCAGGCTAGAATAGAAGCTAGGTCGTAAACATCGCCTATCGATTGGTTAGAAAAGTCCTGAGGCTAAAGTATAATCGCCATTTCAATCCTTCTCCTTTGAGCAGACTATTTTGGCTCTGAAATTTTAGCAGCCTCCCTCGAGCGGTCTTACCCAGCGCTGCCGTTGGGGGCTACCTCAGGTTCAGGGAAATGAGGCTCATTTATATCACTGCTTTTGGCGCAGGGTATCATATGTAGTTTGCCAGGCTCTGATGGGGGGGGGGGGGGGGGGGGGGGGGNTGGGTGGCTAGTCACGCTATCTCAGAGTAACTTTTGACCTGCAATTCTCACTTTTATCCATCACTTGGTGTTTAGTATAGTATTTCGCCTCGTCTCTAACGGCCAGAAATACTTCAGTGGGAGAGAACACTCAGTGAAGTAGATGCGTAAAAGTGACAGAATACTTGAAAAGAGTATTCCATCAACTGTTTCAAATACTCGCAAGTCAGCATTCTTGTACAAGTACCCCGAATCATAGGTCTGCGACCAGATGTAGGAGGGAGGTTGGGGCTACGACCTAAACTTCGTCTCGTGATCCTTCGGAAATGCATAGCATTATTGTGATGGTTTCGAAGCCACTTTTTAATAACAGTACAAATAAAGCATGACCTTTATGGATCGAATAATTCGATGTTTTTGAACAAACTGCTGTAATTCGCCTTTGGGAGCACTGGGACCAATAGGCACCATTCCAAACAAGACTCTCTTTGTTATTAACTAGCTGCTTATGACTGTTGTTGCTTCAAACTCATATATTTGAAATGTTTAACATTTATTTTTTCTAAGCCCATCCAGTAAGAACGACTTTTTCAAGCGTCAGTAGGGTAGTTTACGCGTGTGGTCGGTGTCACCCAAATTTATATTTTTCGTTCTGATGTTAAGCTGTGAAAGCATAGTGAGTTCACGAAGGGTCGCTGAAAAGCTGCAAATTTGCGTCATGCTTATTATACGAACTTTTCGAAATGTACAATATTTTCCGAATTGTGAGCGTAACTTCCAGCCTTTTGAGTAATTGCGCAATGGCATCGGCTACGATAATCGGGTGCTTAAAGGCGCGGTTCACGATAAGTGGTTACTGAGTTCTTCCCTGAGGGATACACAGTGGCCCCATGGGTGGTAGAAGGGTCCCTCTCGCTCTCTAAATCTCGACTGCCAGAACATGGTGGAAGCCCTACAGCTGTCTTGATTCGCTTTGCCGCCCTTCGATCGATGTCACTTCAGACGAGTGTCGAGACAACACAGATTGCAACTATTCGTTCTGAGACCCACACACAATCAGCTGATCGCAGAGTGATGAGGTTTTCCCCATTCTTTTTTCCTCTATTATTCTTTTTGCTGCCGCGATCCCTTATTTAATTTCCTACTCTTAGGGACTGAAGAAGGTGAGCTACTTTTGCTGATACTAGGGCTTTTTGTTTACTCATGCTTATAATTGAATGAATTTTTGCTTACCTTAGTCTGTTATTCGCACCAGAACCAACACGTACGCAGTGAGACACATTGTATAGCTCGTCCAAACGCCCACTCTTCTTCATTTTTCTGGTGTCATTCTCGTCCAGCCCCCTTTTTAACGGTTATTCGAAGCCTTTTCTTCACCTTGGAAACAATGATTCATGCAGTTTCTTCACCTTTGTTGCGCTATATTCGATCTTGCTTCCATTTTTCATCATAATCTGGATTACCCAAAATTATCGTGTACTGTGCCTTTAACCTTTACCATATATGACTAAAATGAAACCCATGCCTCCTGAGAAATTGTGAAGTTGCTGAATAGTGCGTGAAAACTAAAATAGATTGCCGGGTGAGTCCATATAGTTCCACTTCTAATTACTTCGCAGCTTCCTCGCCCCTACTCACTCGCCTGTGGGGTGTATGCGATCGTATGGTTTACGTTTCACGGTACCTCAAACTTGGGTAATTAAACCCTTATAACAACATATACACAATACAAGCAAAAGATATACATATAAACCAAGGCACATAGGGGGCTTATATACGGAGCATTTTCTCTCTATTCGAAGCGATAGTCAAAATAATGTATGACAAAACAATGGAGCCGCTAAAAGATTTGTTTCTTCTACGAGACAAAACAACGGCAATTTCTGTAGCAGTATTATCTGCTATACTCCCCAGGCGACTAAGCGAGTTCTTAATCATCTTCTTCATGCGATGAGTTTGAGCGTCTGTTACGATGGAATTTTTCGTGTTCTCGTCGTGTTGACTCGCTACGTTGCATATTATCGTGCTCTCTGTCGCCTCGTGATGATTCACTGCGTCGAGCGTTTTGCGATCTGTCATCATGTTGACTTCGTCGTCTTCTGTCCTCTGATATTGGAGGCTCCGCTGTATAAAGGTTGGTCGATATTTTCTTCAATTGACTTGTCATTGAATCAATTTTTCTTTGTAGCTCATTCATGCATTTCGAAAACATCTCTTTGAGATCGTCACCCTTGGCGCACTGCGTGACATTTGTTTCAGTTATATCGGACACTTTTGCGTTATCTTTTACTGCGTCTTCTAATCTCATAGTGCGTTTCTCGAGGTTTTCCATCTACGCGATCGTCGGCATCGTATTCTTAAAGATTGAGCGTAGCATTCCATTTTCTATTGTTTTGAGGGCGTTGGCGATTTGCGTCATTTCATTAGACCGTTGAAGAGCATCTGCGGTTTCCTTGAGAAGTTTGCTTCCTTGTAGGAGAAAAATTCTCAGCGGCCTTGCCTCTTTCGACGATAGTGGCTCACTGACGATTGCAGAATGACGCGTTGATAGGGAGCTTGACATATCTGGTTTGACGGCTGTAGATTGTACTTTCCTCGTTGGTTCCATCTTGCGTTGTAGACGTGCTGAAGAGAAACAGTATTGGTTAAACAGAAGTAGATGACGAAAAAGCGCGCGGAAGTGAAGCGAAGGCATGTAGCAAAATTAAGTTCCGGCAAAGCTAAAGGTTTTTCGATGGAGTTTTTTCTTGCGAATGCATGCAGCAGTATGTCAAATAGAGAACTGTTCGTAAACATGTTGTAGTTAGGCGTATAGGAAGCCAAAGGAGGCGGATGGTGATGCAAAGGATTCGTAGTCCATAGGACCAAGCGAATAAATATCCTGCTATTAATGCTACTGTTAAAGCGGTTGCAGCGATGGCGACTTCCTTGTACCAATGACTCAGAACTTCGAAAACGTGTTTGAAGTCCGGAAGTGTAAGTTCATTGTACACGCTGCTTTCTCCTTTAAGGATTTTTCTCGCCGAATCATGGATAGTTTGTGTCCACTGTAGTACACCTGTTATTTCGAAGGTACTCTTCATGGTACCGCATGACACTTGGCATACTTTTTTGATCTTGGCTTCTGTTTGAAAAAATCTAGACTCAATTCCGCCTTTGTGACATGGGATTGTAAAGAAATCTTTGTCGCATTCTACAGTGGCCATTGTCGTTTCTTCTGTTGTGATACAACTGACTTTTGCTACTGCCCCGCGAAGGCAGTTATAACATCCTGTAGCGATGGTGTTTTGTATCACACAGTTGGCATTCGAAACTATTGTTTCACTTTCGTCTATTTGGTCATCAAGTTGAACGATTACCACTGCAGTGACGAATGTTGGTATGACAGCGAGAACGGAAGAGGCCTTCGAATCGCTCTTTTAATATGATCCAGGGGCGTACTATTGGCAGACGGTTTTTCAACTTCTTTAGTGAAGATGCCTGCGATATCAGGGTCGTAGCAAACACAATTAACTTTGTTCTCTGCAGGTAGGCAAACGCAGTTGTCGTTGACCGTGCAGTAAAGTTCTCTAGCTGCTTTCATGGATCCACATAATAAATTGGGCTTCACGTCTCTAGTCCAGATTGCTATCTTTACTCCATTCGAGACAAACGTAGATGACAATACTGGATATGGTGGTGTTGAGATCGATGTAAATGTAATCCTCATTTTCCCGACAGGGATTGTTGGTTTCAGTGATACAGACATTCTTTTCACGCTTCGTGGGGTGATAACGGAAACTTGGATTTTGACTTCTTCTTCCCAATGAGGACATTTAAACAATTCATATACTCGACTGTCTTGGGGTACATTGTATATGCGATAAAATAAGCATCCGCTGCTCAAGTAGAAGCATCCACATCCTGGGCCACCGCAGCTTTCAACGCAGTACGTCTTGCCAGGAAAGATGTTTCCTTTATGGAGCTCTGGGATTTTCGCTGTGTGATGGATTTGTTCGTATTTTTTATCCACACATGACCCCGTGTGTGCGCGCCTTATGGAGTCAATGGCTTCTTGTTTCGTATGTCGCGTAAACATGATGTTCTCTTTGACTCACGTTAGATGAAGACCTTTCCATTTGAAGCGTAGTTCTTGTATCATGGTCTTGTTGCTGATGAGGCGAATGCACGCTTCTTGGTTGAAGGTATTCAGTTTGAGAACTTCGTTAAGTGTGATTTTACAAAGTTGTCCTCCTTTAGATGATAAGGAACAAGATCTCGTATGATGAGTGAAGACATTGATTCCCACTATTGCTATTGCGATAATGGGTGTATTCAAGATTGAACTGATATCATGCCTGGTTCGGTTCTCTGAGTACCGTCTTCTTTTCCTTTCTTTCAGCGATGTGAATAGACATCGTAGAAGTGAAGGAAACACATGAGAAGAGAGAAGAGAATCCTGAGAGTTATTTGGCATGGTCTTGTTATCAAGCGAAGGCTTTGATATGCCAAGTATATCGACGCGGTAATTAAGTAGATGACTATGGTCGCTGCTATTATAGCAGCTTTCGGAGAGCAGTGGGGGTTGAGAATGTTGGCGGTACATAGCCTACAGTTGAGTTTCTAGCAGAACGGAGCTGAGGCACATGTTTTTTCAATCATGAGCACTTCTTTCCCGTCGGTACTTTTCCAGCTTACGATGTGTTGATGAATGGTTATTTCTGGTTCGATATTTAAAACTTCGCGTGATGGCGGATTCTCCTTAATTGAGCACATTTCTTCAATACATAATTCGTATCTTTTTACGTTCGTAGATGTCAGTTCCATGCCTTCATCTGTGCATTTTATGCTAGCGTTGTGCGAAGTTTGAAAGTGGGTGGCCGCCGTAGGTAGCAGAAGTTGAAAAATACTCATGATAAGGAGGCTAGTCGCGAGAGAAGTGGATTGTTTTTTGTGTGAGCAAATTCCGAGAGTCATTTTCCGAGGCCGAAGGTTGTAACGTGGAGGTGGTGTAGCAATCCCGTCGCCTTCACGCTCGTTTGTGGTCATTTTCACACTGTTATCTCCGACGTCTTCCTTATTTTTAGTCGTGTGTGCGTGATCGTCATCGTCTCCTATTTCCAGTTGTACAAGCAGATTCACTGGGCGTCTTATTTTGCGGTCGTTTGGAAGTCTGACTTCGACTTCTCGAATCACGTTATTGTGGGAAATCTTCTCATCAGAGATTCTTCCAATTTTCCATGTATTTCTGGGGAGGATAGGATCGGATATAAGAACTACCGTGTCTTTCGACGGTATCGGTTTTTGCCCTGTGTTGCCGTCCATGGTTAATTTGTGACATTCTCTCAGGCTGCTCAGATAGTATTTGTTCCATATTGTGCAGAAGCGTTCTGTGTTCCTATGACTAGATTTGAGAGCAGCTTCTGTTTGCTTGCGAGTCCGAAGTAGGATAAGCTCTTCTGAAGGTAAGCATGAGGAGTCGCCATTTTCTTCATTCTCTTTTTCGAATGGATATGTTACGGTAATATCGCGCTGGATAAAATCGATTAGTCGTAATATTGGAATTTCTTCAAAATTCTCCTCTTGATATGTGAGTGGGTGGCTGTTTAGGCTTGCTTCTATCTCGACAAGAAGTGTTTCAAGTTCTTCTCTAGTCATCTGAGTTCCACTCATACCTTATAGAGGGAGTACTTAATGGATTTGGTCAGTTGTTCGTAAAAAGCTCCCTGCCACGGAGCGTACGGAGTGATCGTTTTCCATGTAATCCCTTTTGTGGCCATTGTTTTAGCTAGTGTCGGATCGTCAATGACAGGAAGAACAGCGTTGCGGAGAATTTCATCGCCAAGAAGAAAGTATGGCCCGTTGTCCGAGATGATGTTTTTGGGAACCCCTCGCCTTGCCAAGAAGCGTCTTAACGAGTGGATCAGATGAGTAGTCGTCATGTCGGTGACTAGTTCGATATGAATTAGCCGAGTGGTTTCACACGTGATGATGATTCCGTAAAACTTTTTCACGACGTCTTCATTTTTTGCTGTTATAGAACCAAAGTAGTCGATTCCCACGTTTTCGAACGGGCGAGTTTTTGTTACTCGTTCTTTCGGAAAATCGTCCATGTCGGGATATCGATATGGGAGATTACTCATTTTTTGACATGGTATGCAGCGTTGTATAATCTTTTTCACTTGTTGGCGCAGTTTAGGTATCCAGTATTTTTGGCGAACGTTGGCCATAGTATGTCCAGCTCATCCCATGTCCGACTTTGGATTAACCTAGGCATATTGAACTTCGTCGTAGGTTGTATTATTAGCCTTCGAGGTTTTTAATAACACTTTATCCACACGGCTTACGTTTCGGCAATATCGCCTTCGTCGGAGCCTGTAAGTCGAAACTATATTTGTGATTCGTGGGTTACCATTTCAAACTACAAGAAGAGAATTCTAAAGGGAAGTAAAACAGACGCGATGAGCTGACCTGAAACCGGCTGGAGCTGTTTGTCTGCACCCTGAGCCCGAAGTTCCTCACGGCGTTTTTATATTTGCTGGGACTCAGAGGTCAGGTCAGGGATTGCTCCAGGGGACCCCCCAAGATGTAAACTAATGAATAAGGTCATACGAGGTCAGGTCCCTGCCAGTGGTCGCGCATCGTCCTTGGTATTGATTAATTAGCGAGTCTGGATATTTTCATCCGTTACCCCTGACCCCGCGCCCCCGCGGGGGTATCCACTGTGTAGATCAAAGCCACACAAGTCCGCGAATCGCGCGAGCTCCCTGGTAATCGCCACGCATTCGTCCTTCCTGTTGATTTTCGGGTTCTTTGCTGCGATCCACAGTGCTTCCAGAGTCTTGCGGGCTGTGATGTCATCTTCACGAGACAGTATCATAACAGAGACCTTCACACCTTCATTTGCATGGTGCTGTATCTTGTGATCACCCAGAGGAGTGGACTTTCTTGACCTTTTTAACCCATCCAAATGCTATTTTATCCTGATGCATAGTGGTCTTCCCGTTTCCCCTGCATATTCATCCCCACACAGTTGGCATGTGATGAGATAAACGACTCCTGAGATCATACAGACACCTTCCCTTCCGGAAGGGCAAATCACACAGGAGGGCGTTTGGCATCTCCGATCATAAAGACGATTTCGAACCAACTGTCTTTTGAGGTTCAAGGGAGGTATTTCGACCGCTCGCACACTATCCTGGAGATCAGCTTTTCGGAGACAGGCGCGAATGGCAGCGCTCATATCATCTGAAACGAAAGGTACACAGAAAGGTACCTTCGTTCGTCCTTCCTCTTGCGCATGTTCCACCCTAGCACGTCTTCTACACCACACATGCTGTCCGTTGCAACCAT